AACACTATCAAACAAAACAAAATTACCAAATCATATTGTGCTTATGTAAATCCATAACACATGAATTCTTAAGCGTCAACATTACATGCCAATATACATTGGAATATTAAATACTACAAAATTCCTATACACAAATTCGCACAATAAACAATTCAAACACAGATTGCATATAATGGTTTTTTAACTATATTGTGTACCATTAACACAGAAAACACAAATTCAAACCAAATTACATATAATAATTTTTTGACTCATATTGTATACCATTAACAGAAGAATACATGATATAGAGAACAACTCCGTGTTCAGACGAATTTTTTTTTTGGAAAAGCGTTATGTGTTTAGTCGAGTAGGGTCGAGTAGGGCAGAAGAAGAATACCAACAATACTGTGTAAAATAGTGATATCTTTTGAGATTGTTTTACGAAATTTAATTAATCTTTGTGAAACGGTGTACCCATAAAAGAAGGGACAAGGAGCTAACCATGGTTACTCTTCACATCAAGATGAATTAGTTTCTGCAGTTTTGCCTTTCATTAAAGAATTAAATGCACTTACAATTTGAAGACTGAAGATTTGTGTGTTGGAACACAATGTACACGTGTACAAGTATAGAGACATTATATTGTATGGAGATGTATTGAATATAGTTTCTTGGGTGAAGCTATTATTGCCTGTGAAGTTCTGTTGCAGATCTGTGGGTTTTTTTATGAGTATTATTTGGGTAAATTATGGTCAACCCCTGAGGAAATGTCAAATTACGAAAAATCTCATAATATTTGGGTAATTACAACTAGCCCCTCAGCTATGAATCTACCTACTAACACGTCCACCATTGCGGTGTCAAATTTAGTGGAATCTTCTATATTATGTGGAATATTATCCGGTGTGTACTCATTTTACCTCATTTGAGCTCCACATTTTAAAACAAGATGATCATAAGATGTGTCTCTTGGTTTGTAAATATCATATTGTGGTGCATTAGAAACTGCATATCTGCATAAAACGAGTACAAACTAGAGAATATTCCACGGAATATAGGGGAAAACGTGTAAGAAGATTCATAATTGAGGGGTGTGGTTTTAATTACCCAAAAATGAGGGTTTTTTCGGTAATTTGTCCTTATCTCGGGGGATTGGCCGTAATTTATCCTTAAATTTAATATCATTTGTTCATTACAGAACTATTGTAATTGTAATTACGTACAGAACACTAAACACACTGTTGAAACTTACTTGTTGATTCATAAGGACCGTTCAAAAAATAATTATATATATATATATATATATATATATATATATATATATATATATATATATATATATATATATATATATATATAATTTCTTTCTCTTAAGAGATCCACTCATTCATTACCACTACTCCTCAGGAACAAAGAAATCTCGAGGTAAGATAATCTCTCCATCTCCAAATTTCAATTGTTTACGGTGAGAACGAAAACCGAGAGAGCTTAAAACAGCCTCAACTCTTACATGTTAGTAAATATTGCTCGAATTTTTTCGTGACTAACGCATAATTTTTCGGCAGATATGCAGAAGAAAATTATATTGGAGAACAAGCACGGCGAGAAGCTTGTAGGGCTGCTGCACGAGACTCGTTCGAATGAAGTCGTGATCATTTGTCACGGCATCCTTTGCACAAAAGTCGGTGAACGAAAAACTTCTCGTTTTCTTTTTGCAGCTAGATATCGATTTTATGCATAGTTTTTCGATTCATTTCTCGTATTTTTTTTCTATCCGCAGGAGCATAATATCATCGTCAACGTTGCTTCTGCTTTAGAAAATGAAGGGATCAGTGCCTTTCGCTTCGACTTCTCCGGAAATGGGCGAGTATCGTAACATAGAATATTCTTTGCAAAAGAATAAACTTTATCAACATTTTCCGTAATTTTGTTTTTACTCGATTTTCAGGGAAAGCGAAGGTTTATTTCAGTCCGGTAACTTCTCGAATGAGGTGGAAGACTTAAGATCCGTAATTGAGTACTTTAAAGAATTAAATCGTTCGACAGTTGCGATTATCGGGCATAGTAAAGGTATAATTAACCCAATTAATACTTAGATTCAACTGTCTTATCTTATGTTGCTGCAATACTACAGCTAAATGTTAAGTGTATATTTTTACACTTTATCGTATCTTTTTATTTGAGCTTTTGGTGTGTTTTAATGATAATTGGTGCTTAAAAAGTTGATTTATTGTATTTTAGGTACAAATTGAAGAATTGGAAAAGTATGGGGTCAAAACTGCAAATTTGGAGAAAATATGGGCCAAAAGTGAAAAAAAACGAAATCTGGAGATTTAAAGCTCGGACGGCCGTCCGAGTTTTAGTTCAAATTATGGGACGGCCGTCCGAGACCCCGAAGTTGCGCAGTGAATGGATTTTAATTGCACAAGGAAACTGCCTTCTTCCCCAAGTTCTTCACCCTATATAAGACCAAGCCAAGCACACAATTAGGGAGCTTTTTTACGCAATTTCTAGAGCAACAAAACAATAACGAAGACGAAGAATTCGAAGACTCCAAGCATAGATTTATCGTCTATGATTTATTTTATTTGCGTTTTTCCTTTAATCATGAGTAGCTAAATTACTTATTTCTAGGATTTTATTTGGAACCCTATGTGGGATTTATGAACCCAATTCTATGATTTTATGCAAGTTTTAATTCCGGGTTATTTCTTCTATTTGTTTTATTAAGTGCATGAACTTGATCAACTTATGTGCTTTTATGTTATTGTTAATCGCATGAATCGGAAGATCGGGTTAATAATTAGAACTGTGGTAGAAGAGCCTTTGTGGTATTAACATAGGAATATAGTTAATCTCTTAGGTAGCCATTATTGAGATTTGTGATTAATGCTGTGTTCTAGAATTAATTGCATAGGAATATAGTAATTGAATCTAGAGTATTAGAATCGTAATACACGCGGAAGCGGGTTATGATTATTTTAGCATCTCAGGTTAATAATCCGGGTTAATTGCTTGCATAATTGAAGGAATTGGGGGAGTAATAATCACATAGGGGGAAGAATAAAATCCTAGGCTCGCTTATCTTGATTAAATCTTCGTTTTATTTGCTTTCTTGTTTCTACTTGCTTTTTAATTTAGTTTAATTTAGTTTCTCTCTAAAGTCGACTGTGTAGGGTGGGCTTGATAATAATTGCTAGAATTTAGCGTCTAGGATTAAGTAATTAAATATTCCCTGTGGGTTCGATATCCGGACTTAATAGTCCACTATATTACTTGTACGATACGTGCACTTGCGTGTAGGTTTTCGACCAACAAGTTTTTGGCGCCGTTGCCGGGGAATATTTTAATTATTTATTTTATTCTAGCTCTAGATTTGAACAATTTTCACGATTCACCCATTTAATTTTCGTTTTATTTTATTTTTGTTTTAGGTACGTTGTATGCGCAGGAGACTCGATCTCGCTAGAGAACCGTTTGATCCCGAAATCGAACGCACTTTTCGAGCCGCTAGGAGACTTCAACGCGCAAATAATATAATGGAGGACGAAGAACGCAGGGCCGCGGGTAATTTACTCGAGGCCAACGGAAACCAAGTGCAAGACCCTCCCCATCAACTTCCAGCACAGCCAGCAGTTCGTCCACGAGCACTTCAAGATTACATAATCCCAACTCTAGACGGATTCCGCCCGAGCATCCAATATCCACCCATTGAGGCGCATAATTTTGAGATCAAGCAAGGCCTTTTGACGATGCTCCAAAATAACGGGCTATTTAGTGGGTTGGCAGGTGAAGATCCCCATCTTCACATTGTCAATTTTCTAGATACCTGTAATTCCCACCGTCAAAACGGCGTTTCCCAAGAGGCGCTTCAATTAATTCTCTTCAAGCACTCCCTACAAGGAAGAGCTCGCCAATGGTTGATGTCCCAAGCCCCCCACTCTATCTCGTCGTGGCCTCAACTCCTAAATCTTTTCATGAAAGTCTATAGCTCACCCGAGAAGGACGAGAGAATCCGACGAGAAATTCACAATTTTGTCCAAGAGCAAGGCGAGCAATTATACGAGGCATGGGAGAGATTTAAAACTCTTTTGCGGCAGTGTCCAACACATGGAGTCGAACAATGGCGGCAAATCCACATCTTCTACCAATGGATTAACGAGAATGCACGAACGGTCTTAGATGCATCAACCGGGGGAAATTTTATGAGTCAATCGATACCGGATGCATTTATCATGTTAGATCAAATTGCTCAAAATCGGTTTGCCAAGTCAAGCGAGAGGACGGTTAGTGGATCCAAGAAAGTTCCCGGAGTGTTGGAGTTAGATGCAATTACGGCCCTTCAAGCTCAAGTGACCCAAATTGCTCAACAAAATCAACTCCTTCTGCAGCACATCAAAGCAAGTCCACCACAGCAAGTCCAAGCCGTTGATTCTCCATGTTGTGAAATTTGCGGTGGAAATCACTACACGCTCCAATGCCAACAAGATGTGGAGTCTCTCAACTACGTCAACAATGCGCCTCGCCAATTCCAAAATCAAGGGTGGAGATCACAAGGGCAATATGGAGGAAATCAACAAGGCCAAGGGTATCAAAGACCTCAAGGCCAATTCCAAAATCAAGCCCCTCCTCAACAAAGCTATCAAGGCAACAATCCACCGGCCCAAAAATCAAACACGGATGAGATATTGGCCCAATTCATGACCGCTACCCAAGCCTCGTTGCGAAATTTGGAGAATCAACTCGCTCAATTAGCTTTGAAGCAAGAGAACCGCCCGCCGGGAGCATTGCCATCGAATACGGAAGATCCTCGAAATCAAAAGTTCGAGACGTGCCAAACTATCGATGTCAAGAGCGAAAAAAGGGAAGAAATTCAAATCAAGCCGCAAGTCACTGTAGCCGAATGGGTCGAGCCAATCCCATATCCACAAAGATTGCTAACGAAAAGATCGAGGTCGAGACATGCCAAGCAGTCACCTTGAAGAACGGTAAGCAATTGGAGGAAGCCCCACGAAAAGAGAAGAGAAGCACGGTAATCGAGAAGCCGAAAACGAATGAGGAAAAAGAATCATCTCATGACGAGCCACCATCGACGGTGCCTTCACAAGTCCCTCCAATTCCTTATCCTCAAAAGTTTATAAAGAAGAAGCTCGATGCCGAATATCAAAGATTTTTGGACAAGTTGAAGGAAATTCGAATAAATATTCCTTTCATTGAAGCACTTCAAAAGATGCCAAAGTGGGTGAAGTTCCTCAAGGACCTCGTGAAGAAAAGTAAGAAATTGCAAGGGAACGAGATGATCCAACTCACGGAGCAAATTAGTGCAATTCTTACTCGGCCTCTTCCACAAAAACTCGGCGATCCAGGTAAGTTCACTATTCCTTGTACTATAGGAGGTAAAAATTTTAGATCGCTCATTGATTTAGGCGCTAGCATTAATCTTATGCCGTACTCTACTTTTAAAAATCTTGGGTTAGGAGAAATTGAACCGACGGCTATAACTCTTCAATTAGCCGATAGATCTTTAGTTTACCCAAAAGGTATTTTAGAGAATGTGCTAGTGAAAGTCAATAAATTTATCTTCCCTGTTGATTTCGTTATACTTGATATGGATGAGGATAGGGAGATACCTCTTATCGTAGGGAGACCGTTTTTAGCCACGTCGAAAACTCTCATTGATTGTGCTAGTGGTGATCTTACAATGACTGTGCATGATCAAACAATCAAATTCAATGTTTTTAGTGCTAATAAAAATCCATATGATAATAATGATTGTTTTGCTATTGAGCTTATGGATTTTACAAATAATGAAAATTTTGATGTTTTGAACTTGGACAATGGGAAAGTATCTTTGAGTGCAGGAGATGATGGCATAAACGGGAATCGGACGGAGCAAGTTTATTTCATGGACTCACTTTTAAATCCTCCGAGAGAAAGTCATGCGAGTCGAGGTCTTAACAACGATGAGAATGCAAGGAAGATGTTGCCACCCAAAAGCTCGAGCAAGTCACGAGAGAAGGATGAGTCAAGCTATTGTGGTCGTAAGGAGAAAATCAAAAAGGAATTGCACAAAGGACAATTGGTGTTATTGTGCAAATCCCGTCTTTGGTTATTTCCAAGGAAGCGCAAATCAAAGTGGTCGCGGCCATTTATCGTCCAAGAAATTCTTCCTCACGAGGTGGTCAAGATAAAGGAGCGGGATTCAAATCGTACGTTCAACGTAAAACGGAGCCGGCTCAAACCGTATTGGGAAGCGAGTGAAGATTGCCAAGTGACTTCGGTCACTTTTGCTTGAAATTAAAGAAGCAACGTCCGGCTGAAGACTTTAAACTTAGCGCTTCTCGGGAGGCAACCCGAGCTTTATTGTTTTTCGTATTTTTTTTTTTCTCTAATTTTTCGTTTCGTTTTTAGTATCATAAGCATGCATTCTAATTTATTATTTGAATTTTATTTTTCAGGGTCGAAAAAGTGATCGAGGGTCGAGTCGGCCGTCTGCGAAAAAAAAAAAAAAAAAAAAAAAAAAAAAAAAAAAAAAAAGAAAAAGCTTCAGGGGCACTAATAAGAAGTTTTTATTTTGCAGGGACCCAATTGCAATTCTTCACACGGCCGTGCAAGAAAAAGGCATGAATCTCACACGGCCGTGTGAGATTTTGGAGCAGCTACTGGACAAAATTGCAGTTTGGCGCGGCCGTGCGGAATGAGGGTTAAAATCTCGGACGGCCGTCCGAGTTTCGGAGCAGCTTCTGCCCAATTTCGGGAAACGGTGCGGCCGTCCGAGAAATAGGCTGCAAAATGGGACGGCCGTCCGAACTCAACAGGGGATGTTTTAAATTTTCGAAAATTCGATTTTCTCTCCCATATTTTTTTTTCTCTTAAACCCTCCTCTTTCCTTCTTTCTATCTCCCACACACAAATTTTCAAATTTTTTGAATTTCTCTTCCAAAAATTCTTCGATTCCACACACATAATTCACTCACACACTCTCCGATTCTTATTTTGTGTTGGTATTGACAGGGAGGCTAGAGAGTCGAACCAACTTCTTCAAAATCTCATCTTTCAAGGCACGCCCGAGTGCCTCGAGCCGGCATCCACCGGCACCCATTCTTGAGCCCGTGCCCGAGCGTTCCGATGAGGATGAGCATGAGAGAAGGAGGGAGGAGCACCCCGATCACATCGACCCCGACTAAATCAGGTGTTTTCTATCCTTAAACTTTGTGCTAATTTCGTTGAGGGCAACGAAAATTTTAAGTTTGGGGGTGTTGTGCTTATTTACTTTAGTTTGCATGCATTAGGTTTTTTTCGTTTTTATTGCTTTTCTCGTTTTTCCGGAATTTAAAAAAAAAAAAATTATTGCTTGAGTCGACTGCATCGATGATTTATGATGATGAGAGATGATCAATGTTTGATGATGAAATTGCTTGTTTTATGTGATAAGGATTTGATGTTTGTTTAGCTTTCGATTCAACGGGACTTAGAAGCGAATTATTGCTAGGAATCACATTTTGTGCATTGCTTTTGTTGAATGTTTTGTATTTTAAATTTGGAATTAATTTGTGCTAGATCATGCTATGTTCGGTTTTAAGGCTCACCTTAGGAAATTTATGATACGAAGTATTGATTAGTAAGTGATTTGGGATATGATTTGGGCCTTCTTTGAACCGTTTGAGCCTTTCAAGCCGACCTTTTTATCGAAATTCCTTAGAACCTTGATTTGAGCCTCGGAGAAAAGGTGTTCTTTCTTTTAGCCAATGTGTAAGGTAGAATAGGTGGAGATTCTTGAAAAATTACCCCTTGGAGTTCGGTCGAAAATTTTTTTAAGGTCCTTCTTCTTCTTCGAAAAAAAAAAAAAAAAAAAAAAAAAAAAGAAAAAAAGAAGACAAATATCTATGCTTCTATATATATATATAAAAAAAAAAAAAAAAAAAAAAGAGAAAAAGAGAAGAAGAAGAGACTAGAAGGGAGAAATAAGGACTAGTTGCTGAATTATTTGTGAAAACTCGATCCATTGTCTCAAAAGCAAAAGTGGAGACTTTTGAACTTTTGAGAATCGAGTTTATTAAAGTCCGTAGAGGTGAATTCATTGTTTCAAACGCCTATCTTTCAAATTTTGGCGTAATCACCTAAATTCAAGAAAAATAGCCACATATACCCATATTTCCTACCTCGAACCAAAGAGCCTAACAATTGAAAGTCACAAAGCCCCAATGATCCCAATAGCTTAATGTTCGATATTAGTAGAGTAGAATAATTTGGTGAGTATTTGGAGTCAAGCATATGCATGTAAGTATAAATTCTTTCTATCTTTAATTTGCAAATATTGGATGCTTGAAGCAATTGTATGAATTGTGGTTTTTGATAATGGTGAGTGACTAAGTGTTGTTGAATTTTGAGCTTGCGAATGCCTAAGAATTGTCATTATAATTACAAGTTCTGAAAACGTGAAGTTGATCTTTGATCTATGTGATGAGATGCAATAGTTGAGTTATTTGCTTATTGATAGATTTTGCTTGAGGACAAGCAAAAGTTCAAGTTTGGGGGTGTGTTAAGTGTATATTTTTACACTTTATCGTATCTTTTTATTTGAGCTTTTGGTGTGTTTTAATGATAATTGGTGCTTAAAAAGTTGATTTATTGTATTTTAGGTACAAATTGAAGAATTGGAAAAGTATGGGGTCAAAACTGCAAATTTGGAGAAAATATGGGCCAAAAGTGAAAAAAAACGATATCTGGAGATTTAAAGCTCGGACGGCCGTCCGAGTTTTAGTTCAAATTATGGGACGGCCGTCCGAGACCCCGAAGTTGCGCAGTGAATGGATTTTAATTGCACAAGGAAACTGCCTTCTTCCCCAAGTTCTTCACCCTATATAAGACCAAGCCAAGCACACAATTAGGGAGCTTTTTTACGCAATTTCTAGAGCAACAAAGCAATAACGAAGACGAAGAATTCGAAGACTCCAAGCATAGATTTATCGTCTATGATTTATTTTATTTGCGTTTTTCCTTTAATCATGAGTAGCTAAATTACTTATTTCTAGGATTTTATTTGGAACCCTATGTGGGATTTATGAACCCAATTCTATGATTTTATGCAAGTTTTAATTCCGGGTTATTTCTTCTATTTGTTTTATTAAGTGCATGAACTTGATCAACTTATGTGCTTTTATGTTATTGTTAATCGCATGAATCGGAAGATCGGGTTAATAATTAGAACTGTGGTAGAAGAGCCTTTGTGGTATTAACATAGGAATATAGTTAATCTCTTAGGTAGCCATTATTGAGATTTGTGATTAATGCTGTGTTCTAGAATTAATTGCATAGGAATATAGTAATTGAATCTAGAGTATTAGAATCGTAATACACGCGGAAGCGGGTTATGATTATTTTAGCATCTCAGGTTAATAATCCGGGTTAATTGCTTGCATAATTGAAGGAATTGGGGGAGTAATAATCACATAGGGGGAAGAATAAAATCCTAGGCTCGCTTATCTTGATTAAATCTTCGTTTTATTTGCTTTCTTGTTTCTACTTGCTTTTTAATTTAGTTTAATTTAGTTTCTCTCTAAAGTCGACTGTGTAGGGTGGGCTTGATAATAATTGCTAGAATTTAGCGTCTAGGATTAAGTAATTAAATATTCCTTGTGGGTTCGATATCCGGACTTAATAGTCCACTATATTACTTGTACGATACGTGCACTTGCGTGTAGGTTTTCGACCAACACTAAACCTCTATAAATTAATATACTCGAGACTAGGGAAATTCTATTAATTTAGCGAATTATTAAATTATCGAGTTAATAATTAACACGTTTTCACCGAGTCGGGATCGAGAGAAACTATTATTTAATCGAGATTATTAATTTATCGAGGTTCTACTGTAATTAATATGTTTTTAATTATATACAGGTGGGGTGGTTGTACTCCTTTACGCATCTAAATACCACGATATAACTGCGGTGGTAAATATCTCGGGTCGTTTTGATCTCAAACGAGGACTCGAAGAAAGGCTCGGAAAATCATACTTGGAAAGTCTCGACAAGGATGGATACATTGATGTTAAAACTAAGACGGGTAATTAATAATGTGGATTTTATCGAGTAACTATAGTCTAAATCTCGATTTTTTTTATTACATAGGAGAAGTGGATTATCGAGTAACTAAAGAAATTATGTTGGAGCTGCTCAATACGAACATGCACGAATCGTGCCTTTCGATTCGTGAGGGATGCCGGTATAGAAAAAGCATGATGTCATCTATATATTTTATAGAGTAAACTGCAAAAACTACCCCTGTGTTATCTTAAACTAGCAAAAAACCCCCTGTGTTAATTAAACTAGCAAAAACCCCCCTATGAAATTTTTTAAGGAGCACACTCAACCCATAACCCATTTGAGTGTTGACCTGCTGTGTAAATACAGTAATACCCTTGGGGATTTTTTCAGTTATTAAATTATATTATTTTTTAGCTATTAAAAAATAGAAATGAGATTAATAGTTTCTAATTAATTTCTTAGTTTTTTTTAATTTTGTTTTTTACTATGATATAATTTCTGCATATTTCAAATTATTTTAAATTTGCTTCTTGAATTGGCTGAAAAGACAATTAAATTATTATACTTATTAAAAAAGACAACTAAATTATGTAAAAAAAAAAATTAATTATACATTTCTTTATCTTGTAATTATTTTTAAATATCCATACTTAATTTGATTTCTAAAATTTTTAATAACATGTCAGTTTAAAATGTTTACCAGATTTTATTAGTATTTCAATTTCTAAACAATCAAAAAAAAAAAAAAAAAAAATTAAAAATAAGAAAAAATCAGAAAAAGAAACAAAAAATGAGAATGCTGGAAAAACTTGGCCGCTCCATCTCCGACAACACCACCACCGTCTTCCCACTTGGAAATTGAATCCCAAAATACAATAAACCAAAAATTTTAATCTCCTTTTTTAACCAGATCCAGAAAAAGAAAAAAGAAAAAAGGGAAAGATTTGAGCTTCTGCAAAACTCAGCAACAACCCAAAAAAAATTCCACAAAAATCCGTCGAATATCAACGCAGATTCCTCCTAAAGTTATGTATGCAAAGAGATTTGACATGGGCTGGATAATTAAAGGCTCGAATGTCAGCTTGTAATCGGGGTTGTAGACTCGGCTCGAATTCGCGCCGCCGCCGCCGCCGCCGTAGAGGAGCTTCCAAATCATCGTGAAGAAGAAGATTAGTTGCTCCGAAGTCCTTACTGATTTTGATCCCCCAATCTCCAGAAGCTCCTCCGGTTGTCTGGCCACTTGTGCTCGAGTGTGTACTTCAGGCGGCGGCGGTCACGGCGGTGCTCGGAGAGCAACAAGGCGAAGCAGCCCATGGTGGAGGATGTGTTGCGGTGGTGGGAGGCGGCTGGACGGGGTGTTAGGAAGATGGAATTAGGGCTTGTGTAGAATTTTTGAGAAATTCATTAAAATACATACTAATACATTTTTTGGGGCAATTTTGTCATTTCAGGTTGAAAAATTCATTACCACCTGCGAGTTGGGCGCGTGTGTCACACGGAAGTGCACTAGGGGGGTTTATGCCATTGACTAAATTTCACAGGGGGGTTTTTGCTAGTTTAATTAACACAGGGGGGTTTTTACCATTTCAAGATAACACAGGGGTACTTTTTGCAGTTTACTCATATTTTATAGCTTATATATTTGTGGTTTCTGTTGTTGTGTGTAATGAAAAAAGGGTGCCGACTGTACATGGATCGGACGACGAAATAAACCCGGTGGAAGATGCGGTTGAATTCGACAAGATTATACGAAACCACAGACTTGAAATAATACGAGGAGCTAACCATGGATACACTTCACGTCAAGATGAATTAGTTTCTGCGGTTTTGCCTTTCGTTAAAGAATTATGAGTTCGATCGATAGTCGAAAGCTTGATATTATTTGTTAAACTCAATTTTATAAATAAATATTTTATGTAAGTTTGTTTTTTCTTGAATCGGTTGTGTAATTTTTTTTATTTATAAAACAACAATCAACAAGGGTGTTCACCGAGAAAATGTAACTAGAATCATCGGTGAGTATAGAAATTAAAAAAAAAAGAAATTACGGGTTAAATTGAATCGGTCCAACCGTGACCCAATTGTCTATCCGGTTTTAAAATATTGCAATTTTATTCTTCACTATATATATATTTTTTTTATTATGATATGAAAATATAGAAAATTTGGAATTTTTGGGTCTAGAAAATTAGTATGATCCAATATCTTGCAATTAAAAAAGTACAAGGACTAAAAAGAAAATTATAATTTTTTTATCCCCGAATAATAAATAATATAATATGTTCATCACTTTTAATGTGCTTAATCCAAACCCACCCAAAAACGCCGTCGTCTCTTCAATCTGAAAACTTCATAACCGCCCGAGCAACACCGAGTCTCACCGAGTTCATTGATAATGGCGGAGAAACCCCAACCGGTTCAGGTACTGTACTGCGGAGTTTGCGGGTTACCCGCTGAATACTGCGAGTTCGGACCCGATTTTGAGAAATGCAAGCCCTGGTTGATCGAGAACGTACCGGATCTTTACCCGGATCTTCGTAAAGGTTTTCCGCCCTAAACCCTAATTACACGCATGTAACCTAACTACCGATTTCAAATTATTGATGTTTCTTTGCTGATTTTTCAGAGGCTGGTCTGGATGACGCTGATAACGTTTCTAATCAGCTTCAGTCCACTTCAATTTCCTCCAGTGGTACGAATAAATCATTAATTCGTTTATTTATTTATTTTTTTGTGGGTGGGGGGTGAATTATTTCTGTTGTGGTGTGGTTTGCAGTTGTTTCAGTATGCTGCCTTTGATAAATGATATGCTACACACTCTCTGTTAAACTCTGTGAGCAACTAAGAGATAATTGTATTGTTTACTGGCTTGATTTAGAATTTTGAAATCTGAAATCGTAGTAGTTCTGTTGCCGCTTTCTGTATCGTTGATTTGATGTAACAGTAATTTTGTTAATCGATCGAGCAATATGAAGTATATATGTTATGAAACCGTAGTGATTACGAACTGAGATTTTTTTCATTCAAAATTTGAGTACAATGTTTATTTTAGAGATGAATTAGAGCATTCGGTTCTTCTGTTTTCAACTTGTTCTATTTTTGTTCCTCTGTTTCGAATAGTGAAAAGTATTTTACCTTGGAAAATCATGAAAAGTAGAAAAATGATATAGCGAAGATTTCTGTTCTTAGTTCTTGGATGAAAAAGTAGTTATGCTATGTCTAGTATGTCAAACCTTGTTTTGTTTGCAGCAGGTTCTTCGAAACCTAAGGAAGAAGTGAAACGTCTACCTGGTGGGAAGATAAAAAAGAAAGTAAGTCTCTGAGAAAATAATTTTTTCCGAGCTTGTACAAAAAGTTATTTTGTTTGTGGAAGCCTTTTCTGTCTGCTATAGCATTAGGCGCCGGATAATGCTTTCTGTAGATTGTTACGGACACTAATGCAACTGTGTGACATCTCTAATTGCACGTATCTGCTCCCCATCCTGGAAATCAGAATTGAGCAATGGTTTCTAGTGTTTTCAGCCTATTCTCTGAGTTCCCTTTTATATGAAAACAAGATAGCAGTCACAAAGGGGATAAAAATCAATTACAGCCAGATGCTGTCTGAAGTTAGTTTTGCCTACATATGAACTCCCGTCGTTGTATAAATATTTGCCATAATATAGCTAGTGCTTGGTAATATAAAAATAGTTTGGGATTCAGTAAACTGCTTATCACTGTAGCACATCAAATACATCACTCGCAAGTTTGGGGACTCAACCATATGCATTGTGCGTGTAACAGATTGCCCCTTTTTGTTTTGGCATCAATAGAAAAAAGTGGCACGGGCCACTTTTTCTTTCAACTTTCAGTGTTTTCCTATTCTTTGGTGTTGTTGATCGTAAACTAGGAATGGAATCAAGAAATAGATATCTAAGCATATACTTGAGAAGTAAAAGTAGAAATAGGTTACGCTCTACACACTCTGCGTTGTTAGTTGAGGTTCCTCTGCGGGCTGAGCTAAAAGCGCATCCGGATGAGAAAGTTGTAGCCTAATTTATTGGAAGCAACCTCAAAGTCTAATAAATTCCGGCATGTCCTATTTAAGATATTCAGCATAGATTGATTGTATGTTTTACCTTATTGAAAGTTCTTGATGTGCATAGTAGGAAGAAAAGAAAAGTTTTCCACATAGTGCACATGCACGCACAAAGACATATTCTACCTTTTAACATAGAAGAGCTCTCATTTGCCCCCCATAGAAGGACGGGGGGAGGGATCTTAAAACCCCCACCATATTTCCCCCCGTATCAACCTATGCATGTATGGATCATTGGTTTGATACTGCATTTGGCAATGCATTTAAAATCTGCCACATGTATTCAGCCCACTGGTAGTGACAAAGAGAACCCTGCCACTGAATTGTTTTGCAGGAGAAGCTGGAAGTTATTATTGAGAAGATGACTCGTAACAAGCGAAAATGTATCACCACTGTGAAAGGCCTAGAACTTTTTGGTAAGGATTTGTTGTCTCTATCTCTGTATAGCATGTGTTGTGGTACTGTGTGTTCTGTAGTCTCACCTTTGTTACGACTCACTTCCATGTCAACTTTCAGGGGTTAAACTAAATGATGCATCGAAGAAGCTTGGCAAAAAGTTTGCTACTGGAGCTTCTGTTGTCAAGGTAGGTACTAGGTACCATCGGTTACTTTGGTGGTACTGGACACTTCTGACATAAAGTATTCCAAATTATAAACTGATATGTAACTCTTATATATTTACTTCCAGGGCCCCACGGAGAAGGAGCAAATTGATGTTCAAGGAGACATTGCTTACGACATAGTTGAGTTCATCACCGACACCTGGCCAGATGTAATCTCATATCTTCCCCAACTTTAATCTTGTTTAATCTCTGTGCTTCTGCATGTTCTTATTAACTTCCTCTTTGGGTTCATCCCACATGACTCGTTGATTAGGAGAATGTAGTCCATTTTCTTCTATTCGAAAACTTCAGCTAAAAGTAGAGGAACACAATACTTAATCATAGAGGCAGCAGATGAATCTTATACATAAGCATACCATGCTCAATCTATTTTGTATGCGAAATTATAAAACCTAATCTCGTATTTGTCTTGATCAATATATCATTTTGACACACTTTTTTTTTACACCAATTTTTAGTTTTTCGGTTACTTATAATCGATGTGGAGTGAAGCGCTTTACAAATAGTGGTTCTTGTTCGTAATTCGTTCATAATCCCAATGGTTAGGAAGTGGCAATTTAATCTTATGCGTGTTAGTTGAACTCAACGCAGAGATTATAGGAATAAAACAGTAGAAAGTGCAATAACACAAGTAACTGTCATTTGCTAGTTATATGCATTTCTCTTTATGCTCTTATGTTCGAATAATAGTTGCATATAAATTAATGGTGCTTGTGTGTGTGTATTAGGTCCCGGAGAGTGCGATTTTCTTCATTGAAGAAGGGAAAAAGGTTCCAGCTGTGTAGATGCGGAATGTCTACCATCAGAGAGACTTTCAATGATTTTTTTTCTGAGCGGATTATTATTATTAGTATTAGTATTGTTATTATACTGTCTTGTCAAAAAAAATATTTTGTATACGTCGGATCGTGTCTTTATGAGTTGTCCTTATTTTATGCCTTGAGTCTGACAGTAAGTAAAATTACAAATTGATTTTAGATACAAGATGTATTTCGAAAATTGCTATGCACAAAAGTTGTATAAATTTATGCCTTTTCCAACCAAACTTGAAATAGTGCAATCAAAGTTCGTATGATAAAATTACGAGTAAAATAAATTACGGAATTTGTATTAGATTGATTTTAAATTTGATTTCACAAATGTCTTTGGTACGATAAAATTACGAGTAAAATAAATGTTTTCACAGACATATCCCTCGAGAAGGCCATAGAATTTGATGAACATATCCCTCGAGAAGGCCATAGAATTTGATGAATATTGCCGTAACGCGAACCTTCCATTACTTTCATCAAATCGGAAGTGAGTGTTTTTTTTTTTTCTTTTTTTTTTATTTATTTTTTGTTTTTTTTATATTTTCACTAATATTATCTATTGGCAACCAAACAAAATTTGCCGAAAGTAGAATACAATCACAAACATATACTACTTTGAAAAAAAAAATCTAAGTAGAATTTAAAAGTCTATAATGTAGCTATGAGTGAATCACTTTCTGTCACTTCCCATTCCCAATCGGCCTCTTAATGTAAAGTGATAGAACTAATACCAGATAAAAGCTCGAGCTAAACATCATTACTCATAGATAGAACTAATACCAGAGAGAAGCTCGAGCTAAACATCATTACTCATAGATGGATTCTGCGGTATAAATACCACACTAATATCACAGGGTTCACATCAATATCCATATATGGGTTCTGCGGAGCTATCGTGTCACGGACTTGTTCAGGAAAGTACTTTATTGCTTGAGTACTTGTTGGATGGCAAATGAGGACCTATCTCTATTTATACTAGACCACCTCCTCAATGGACGGTGGAGATCTATTTGATCTAACGGTTGGGAGTGGTTCTCTAGAACACTCCAAAGAATTCCAAAAATATCTACAAGGGAGGGTTCTAGAATATTTTCTAGAATCCTCCAAGAATCTCTACCTACCTCTATACACTTGGGCCTAACCCTATTTGGGCTAAATATTGGGCTTCTTAACCTTCCTAACCCAAGGGAAACTAGCAAGGGGTTGGACCAAAACTAGCGGGCCGTGACATATCGCCAAAGTTGTTCTTGATGTTAATGGTGAAGATTCAGACAAAGTAGTGATTAAAAAAATTACCGTAGTACCAGATGGTTTAGAAGTGAATCTTCACGGGTATCAAAGCATGACATTCGAGGAGGGAAATCAACTTATGTTCTATGAAGTTGTAGGCATGCCGAGCTTAGGTGATGGATTACCAAGACTAATTATGTCATTTCTTCTTCTAATGCGTTTGTCATTCAAGAGGATCCTAAAAAGTTTAAAATGAATGGGATCGGTGGTAGTGAAAATTGAAACCACTAGAGTTGCACTCTAAGCTACTGGGGTTTAGAGGGCAATCGTTTCTGGATGTTAACTTCTTCATGACTGTTGTAACCAACCGTGAAATTCTACCTTTCCTCCACTATGATGTTGCTCTAACGCGTTTGTCATTGTTTCGAATATACTTTTCTATCTTACAATATCTGGTGTATTAATTATGAGTTTTTCCTTTGATTTTCACTTGATTTAAATTCGAATATCATGGTATGACTTCGAAAAAAATATTAAAATAACCTTATATTTGAATTTGAATCATTTACAAAACAATGACACCTTTGAACTCATTAATTAATGAGTTAGTCATAACAAAACAATCGAATTTATTTATCAAAACCTTTCTTTGAAATGCAACCGTAAATTTTCAAATCACTACTAACTTCACATGTGTGCACGACATATACAAAATTCTAATTGGTAATTATAAGAAAATATTTATGTAGGTCGACTCGTATGACATATAAAATTTGGTTCATACTGATGAATTATTGTTGATAATTATATGAAAATATTGATGTAGGTCGACTCGTATGACATATATAAAAGTTGGTTCATACAGTTGAATTATTGTCGATAATTATATGAAAATATTTATGTAGGTCGATTAGTATGACATATATAAAAGTTGGTTCATACAGTTGAATTATTGTCGATAAATATATGAAAATATTTATGTGGGTTTACTCATATGACATATATAAAAGTTGGTTCATACCGTTAAATTAATGTGAAATAACTATAACAATAGTCACTAGTCACTACATGTTTGCACAACACTCCTTGTGTAGTTGCCATATAATTCATGAGATTTAAATTTTGGGAAAAAAAAATTATAATGCTATAAACCAACAATTGTAATATTTAAAATATGTTCCTTATAATGAACTTAGTTATTTAACAATATATTTTCAAATGCTTTAAACATATATTTCTACCATCTTTTTTAGTGTATGTTAGATTAATCTTCAATCTATAGAATATTTGTACAACATAATTGTTATCTACTATCACACGAGGAAGAATACTAGTAATAATAATAGGATTTTCATTTTCAATTTCCTTTTGTTATTAAATTTTAAGGTAAATTAACGGCCCCGTGAGAAAAAAATATAGTGCATCTCGGTCTCTACGACATGAAATTTTGGCTCCGGAGCTCCGGTAATTATTTCCGGGATGTGCCTGTAATTACCAATACCCCATGAACCTTAAAATTATTTTAGCATACCTTATGGGTATATGTGTAATTTACCGTAAACTTTAATATTTAGTACACTTCACTTGATTTACAAATTAATCTTTGTTACTTCATACAGTGAGTCCCGTCATTCTAATGGCAGCTCCGCGAATCCTTCTCTCCGGCGACGCTCTCGGCCGCCTGAACCAACTCTTCAAACGCGTTTCCTCAGTAGATTCCGCATTCCATTCACTTTTAATCTCTCTAATTTTTTTTTTGACTGAATCGAAGTTAAATTTTGATTTTCGGAAACTATTGCAAATTTCCAGGTGAACAAATCGGCGGGGCCATTCGACGCGCTGCTGTGTGTGGGGCAGTTCTTCCCTGATTCCGAGGATCAGCTGGCGGAGTTGAATGACTACATCGAAGGCCGCTCCAAAATCCCTATCCCCACTTACTTCATCGGCGATTACGGCGTTGGTGCCGCCAAAATTTTATCGGCCGTGGCCAGAGATTCGGCTAACCTAGGGTTTAAGATGGACGGCCTGAAAGTATGCGAGAATTTGTACTGGTTGAGAGGCAGCGGGCAGTTCCTCCTCCATGGTATTTAATTAATTTATCCTCACAGTTTAGTTTTAATTATTGGTTCTAATGTGATGAAAGTGCTGGTTGATTTTGATTCATGTAGTTTTTTCTTATTTTAATTAGAAATTCGCTATCGCAGCAAACGGGACATGTTATCGCTCTGTGGTTTTGTTATCGTTTTTTTTAGGCCAGATGATTTGAACTGTTACCAACTGGCCATACTTGGATTGCTAAAAGAAATGGAATGACAGATATAATAGAGAATGAATGGCTTTATAGAATCAAGAACAACACAAAGGTGATAGGTATAAGGTTTTAGTTTCCGACTTGGCTTGTTTCGTGTGAGGCTATGAGAATTATACCGACATTACTTAGTGACGTGCATGTGTATTATGAAATACAACACGAAGTAGGAATAGAGAATTTGACGTCTACTGCATATGCTACCGACGATTTTTCCGTGTATCTGTTTATATATAGAATATAGCACTGACATGAAATGTTCATTTATAATTATAGGTCTTTGTGTGGCATATTTATCTGGTAGGCAGTCTTCAAGTGGCCAACAATTTGGGACATACAGTCAAGACGATGTTGACTCCTTAAGAGCGTTTTCTGAGGAGCCAGGAATTGTTGATTTGTTCTTGACATATCCTTAATGTTGTCTATAGTTACTCCGTTTTCTCATTCCCTCCACTTTTAAATTCCTTTTTTCTTCGTTGCTATGCATTTTAAAGTTTGGTTGTTTCCTTCACTGGATGTTACTAATGAATGGCCCAGTGGAGTCACAAAAAGGGCTGCTGCATCTGGTATTCCTTCTGGAATGCCTGATCCGATTATCGGTGATGCAACCATATCAGAATTAGTTGCAGAACTCAAGCCGCGGTAAGGATTTTTCAAACTACTTCTGTGGCAATTTTTTAATTATTTAAAATTGTTATAGAACTATTGATGAGTTTGCAGTTTGACTTTGTTACAAATGAAATTGAAGAAAACAAAGTTTGAGTTACCAAAAACGCATAAAGCAATACTTGCTCTTATACATATCCAAATGTCAGTACGAAAAAAAATTGTGATTGAACGGTAGGAAAAATCCAACTGTTATGATATATTCCCTTATTTCTTAAAATTTTGTCAGTGTTAAATTTTAAGATTAAAAATTTTGTGCCCACACAGTGCTTATGCCACAGTAATATTGTCCAAATCTTGCCATGAGAGTTGCATCTTTACTTTAGTATCCTTCATTTTATTTTGCATAGTATACATGATGTTGTAGAAAAAATAGAGGGATGAGAGGAAAAAAAGGAAGGAAGAGAAGTAGGAGAATGAACTTAACAACCCTTGGCAGGGTTGGGAGAATCACGAAATGTGGTATCGTTTGCAATGATCAATTCAATTAAGATAACTTAAAGACATGTAAAGCATAAAAAGATTCGGGAAACTACTTATGTTTCATGATAATGCTCAATTATGGACAAAAGACTCCAAGGAATAGGTGGCTAAATATAAAATCCTCAATAAAGATTCAAGGACCAAACATGCTAACCTTAAATTACATTAATACGCCTGAGCTCAAAGCACCTGAAGAACCAAAATTTGAAACTGATTGGTAAGAGACCCTAGCACACGTTCATCAGAGACATTTTTCTGAAACAGCATGTGTTTGAAAAGACTTCCTTGGTGCTGCAAGATCTCCAACATCTATGTTAGAAATTTGCAATTTCAATAAAGCATACATTCTTTTCCTGCATGTTGACCAGGCAATAAAAGTAATTAATAAGCTTCCTTATGATACTGTTCTAGTTTCAACCTTTTTGCAGTGGTTACATAACACAATCTTGTTCCTAATAAGGTTGCTTCTGTCGTAGCTACCATATTGCAGGCACTATTGGCGTCTACTATGATCGTGAACCTTATGTTAATGACGGTGCTAGCCATGTGACTCGTTTTATAGCCCTTGCTAAAGTTGGAAATAAAGAAAAGCAGGTTCTATTCTTTCCTAATTTTTTTTTATAATTTGCTGAGCTCTGAGTTTGTGCATCATATGTCAAGTTTTTGTTGCACTAAAATGGATTCTGGATTTTGCATGCTTTGCATACATTATTTTGTCCACGTCATTTAAACATTCTGATTCTTTATATTCTTTTTTTGAAACTCTATTTGAATCACCCTGTAGCTCATCATTTCTAATTTTGATTCCAGAAATTTATTCATGCACTTTCGCCAAATCCAGCATCCAAAATGTCAGTTGCTGAGATCTGTGCAAAACCGTCAAATACTACTTTATCTCCATATTCATTTGTTGAGGAAACTGGATCTGGCAATGGAGCAGCAAAAAGATCTGCTGACAGTGGTTCTGACACACAGTATTGGCGGTATGACGTGTCCAAGAAAAGGCAGAAACATGGAGATGGTGAAGGCTTATGCTTCAAGTTTGTATCTTCAGGGTCTTGTCCAAGAGGTGAGAAGTGCCATTTCCGACATGATGCAGATGCAAGAGAACAATCTGTTAGAGGGGTTTGTTTTGAATTTTTAAACAAAGGAAAATGTGAAAGAGGCGAAGATTGCAAATTTAAGCATGAGTTGCAAGAAGAAGGCAAAGGATTTTCCAGCGGATCGGGAACTGGAACTGGAAGCTTGAACAGGTCAGAGATTAACAAAATTCTCATTGTATTGATGGATTCTTGATGCTGTGTTAGGCTTGAACTTTATCGGGTTATTTGAATTAATTTCCATTAGATACACTTTGTTTTAGTTAAGGATTATATGTTTCAGATCCAAGGAATGCTGGTTTTGTTTGTCAAGCCCCAGTGTGGAGTCGCATCTAATCACTAGCATAGGAGAATACTGCTATTGCGCACTACCTAAAGGACCGTTAGTCGAAGATCATGTGCTGATAATACCTATCGAACATTTGCCAAACACCCTCTCTCTACCACCAGAATGTGAAGAAGACTTATCTAGACTCCAGAGAAGCCTCCAAGCTTACTTCAAGCGACAAGGGAAGGAAGTAGTTTTCTTTGAGTGGGTTTCTAAACGCGGAACTCATGCCAATCTTCAGGTGTGAAAAGTTAGACTCCCTCTTTCTGGGCATGCTATACTGACATTAAAATATTTTTAAGTTCATTTTGTTCTCAAATATATGAAGTAGATACTACATTGTCTTCACATGGTACTACTATTGTTACTAATTTCATTTTTTTCCTGCTATGGAGTAATCAATATACTGGGTGACTTGTGTCACCCACAGTTGATTAATAATTGGTAGATGTGCAGTTATCTGATTACAAATTCCTTGTTTTTCTTAAACAATATGTATATATCTCCTGCATGATCTTATGATTGGAAGATTTAATCGCTGTCTTTTTGCAGGCTGTTCCTATACCTTCATCCAGAGCATCTTCTGTTGAACAAATTTTCAGTTTAGCTGCCAAGAAGTTGGGTTTCACATTTACTTCCGTTAAAAGTAAGCTTTTTTTACATTGACCTTGGGCCTATATTTATTAACCTCTAAATTCCTGTGAGGTTGGAACTTTACATTTTTATTCTTATATCCATTGTAGAAATAGATCTAGACTGATCATTAAACATGAAGGATTAATTTAACCCTTGCAATATTTTATTTGTTTTACCGTAAATTGTTGTACATTGTGGGGAAGAGGTTTAGCCTGTTGGTAATGGATATATTATTAGTTTGATTAATAACAAAAGGTGTGACTAAATATTCAATGGAGTAACTATCCAATGAGAGTGAATTCGAGAAAAAAGTGTGATGCCTAGAAAAAGTTAGTTATTCTCGTGCGTGTTCATCTCTGTCTGCCAATTGCAATTCCTCAATCTTTAGAAATGAAAAAAACATCTGTGCCTAATTCCTTGACAAACAGCATCATGTTTTAATTTTGTGACAAACAGCTCCCCTGTATCTCGATTTGATTTTCTGATTGTTGCAGATGAAAACAGTTTGGAAGGACGGAGATTGTTGGGAATGCACCTTGACAGAAATCAGAGTTTATTTTATGTCGAAGTTCCTGGAGGAACAATCCTGTCACATATCGTTGAGGAGAATGAGAAGTTTCCTGCCCAATTTGGTCGTGAGGTAAAGATATCATGCTGATAAAATATATGAAGGTTTATATGAAAATGATTGAATGAATCGGAAACCCCGGAATCATGCAACAATCTGTTCTTCCTGAGGCGATTTTGCCACAATCAACCTTCGTTTATGGAGTTTAAATTTTAAGCTACATGTTTGCTAACAGAGTCTCCAAATTAACCATATACAGAATTATACATCATCGTTGTATATCTGTCGCCATATTAATCCGTGGCGAAATGCTGCTGCACTCTTTGATTGTAGGTTATGGCTGGATTGTTGAATATGGCTGATAAGGCTGATTGGAGGAATAGCCAGCTCACTAAAGACGAAGAAACAAATATGGCCGCGAAATTCAAGAGTCGATTTAAGGAGTTCGATCCAAATACCTGATACTCGCAATGTTCAGGTACATTCCACCACAACCCCGTTTCTGTTTTCTTGATTTGCTGTTGACTTTGCACGGACTCATGGCATAGAGATTGAACTTGGTCAAATCTTTTCAGCTGTCACTTAGAGCACACCACCCGAACGAATTGAATTCATCACTTAACTTGCTTCTCTAGGCGAAGCCATGCTTTCATTTGGTGCAAATTCGTTTATTTATTTTTGTTCACCTCCAAAATCATCGAGAAGCGTGTCCATGTGACGTAATTTGGCTTTTTTTTTCGATTTTTTTCTGAGTTATTGTTTCTATTAAGAGTTATTTGATAGTACTCGTAAACGAAAACTCGTGGTGAGTTTTTCAAATGGTACCACTGTGGATAGGTTGGGTCCATAAGAATCAAATCAATAGATTTCATATTAATTGCATTGAACACCAACCTGGAAATTTCAAATTTTAGTGAAATGACAAATCATTTTAAATGATTTTTTATTATTATTTATTTTTAAATAAAATTGGGACCCCAATAAATATGTGCAAGGCCATACATATAATTTGGCATATCTCCTTGTCTACATGTTTAATTGTCACGACTTTGGAGAATATAAAGTACTTGCGTTGGGCCAAAACTCTATATATATGTACACTATCTATTAATTTACTTTTCTCACATCTTCCGATTTTGAACACCAGGTTCGGTTGGTTTACCGGTCGAGTGAACACCCATAAATAATAGGACAAATTACGGCCATCCCTTTGGGTGATGGTCAAATTACGAAAACCCTCATCCTGTTTGGATAATTACAGTCATCCCCCTCAACTATGTATTATCTTACGACAAAACTCCTCCAGCGGTAAATTTAGGGATGTTAAATTGGTAAAACCGAATCGAAATTTTGGTACGCCAATATTTCATACTATTTACTAACTGAATATACGATTTGGTTTGGTAAATAATCGAATTACATAAATTTTATGTAAATATTTAAAAGGAGAGGTGACTGCAATTACCCAAATAAGAGGGGTTTTTTCGTAATTTAGTCATACCGCAGAGGTGGCTGTAATTTGTTCGAAATAACCGAAATAATATGAAGACGTATATATTTATACAAATATGTATGTAAATATGTATGTATTTTGAGTTTTATCTTTCTCTTGTTACTACTCGTTAGTAATACGTGGCCCAATTTTGACCTATGGTTAATCATTAAGTAGTTTTATTTTATCCTTTTCTTTTGTCAATATATATGTGGCAATATCTATTCTGTTAATTAAAAAAAAAAGGAAATATAGAAAGAAAATATTAATGATTTTTATTTTTTATACTGACTACTGAGTGTCGAATCGGTTAAAAGTGCCAAGTTGACCAAAAAAGTATTTCAGTTTGACTTATTGTTGATTCCACGTGTCATTCAGTCTGGATCTTTTCTTGGTGTTGAGTAGCTTCAAAGATTATTTACCAAATAAAAAATAAAAAAGCGAATAAGAAAAATAAAAAATAAATTCACAATAAAAAAATAATTTTCAGTATCACAGTTATTTATTTCTCATGGAATATTAATTTTCTAAACGTTTAAATGATTTTTGACTTGGGACATTAATTCTGAAAGCAAGCAACAATTTTAGGGGTGGGGGGGCCAAGACCTACCTAGGTTTTGCTATTAAACTTGGATCAATTATTTATTTCAAAGTAGAAAATTAGTGAGCTGTCAAATTCCACTTGACACGTGCACAGATCCACATCTCAAATTCAGTGAGAAAAGCGAGTCAATAACATATAAATTATTATTATAAGAAGAAAGAAGTTATATTAATTAAATCCATAAAGTATTGATAAAAAAATTAAATCCATAAAGTGTTAGCACCAACATTTAATTCATTATTAAAAATGCTATATTTTTTTTGGGTCCAATTTTACACGATATTGAATGGATTTGTCCAAGTTATTGTACTTTTTTAAAATTTTATTATTATTATATTTATAAGATTAAGACAACATTTTCAAGAGAATTAGCTGCCACAGTTAACTCTCTCTCTCTCTCTCTCTCTCTTTCAGACACCCCCAAAATCTCATTAATTACTGATTAATTGCTACAAAAATTTCCTGCCGAATCCTAGGAACCTTAAAATAATAAATAAGTAAAAAAAAAAAATCCATCTTTCTTTTCCAAGATGCCAGTAGTCATTTTTTACATGTTGAGAAGAGTAGATACAAAACCAAAAAACATGAGCTGCTGTCTGCCATGTTACTAGTTATTACCACTGGTAGTAAGTAAGTAGTACTAAGGGTTCTTGTAAGTTTACTTGTATCATATTTTTGTACCCGCATTAGGTTGTCAGATTAGCTTTTCAACACACACACACACACACACACACACACTAAGCTAAGCTAGTGCTTGATTGGTCACATGCCAGTAGAAAGACCCAGTTGTTTGGTGTGGTGTGGTGTGTTGTGTTGTGTTGTGCAGTGCAAGAACATGCCAATTTCTCACTCACAGTCCTGCACCAAGAAATTCAAAAGAATTTCTTTTTGTTCTTGTTCTTCTTCTCTTATTCTCTCTCTCTCAAACCCTTTTATCAGAAGAAGAAAAAAGACTCAATCTTTTCTTGCTTTTTTGCACATTCTCCCCTTCCTTTCATCTCTCTCTCTCTCTCTCTCTCTCTCTCTCTCTCTCTCTCTCTCTCTCTCTCTCTCTCTCTCTCTCTCTCTCCCTCTCTCTCTCTCTCTGTTTATTTCTTGTCTATCACTCTTTCTGCTCGTGGGTCTCCATCTTTAATCTAACTCCTTTTGTCATTGCTTCAAGCCATCCTCCATTTTCTTTGCATTTCTTTTAAGTCATTAATTTCATTGTCGGAGAAGTACATTTTGCCCCCCTCTCTCTCTTGCTTTTGCTTTTCTTGTTCCAATTCTGTAATGAATATGTCATCACTGAGGATGAGCTGAGGATTTTCTTGAAATTTCTTGAAATTCTTATGTGGGATGATGGGCTTGGCTATGCTGCAAGTTCTGGGATTTGTGCTTAAAACATGTGCCTTTTCTTGTGCATTTCTCATTCAAGGATCTGCCGGTACTTAAATCTTTCCTCACTCTTGCTTTTCAGACACAATCATCTGCTAATTTCATTTTCTTGTGCATTTGTTGGAAGATTTTCCTTTGGCAATGTCAAGATTTTCTGATATTTGTACACAGATCTGTTGTAACATGATTTGGAGTTTCATTCATTCCTGCTCTACTGTCATCCTATAAATGCTGGTGGTTGTAATAATCCCATTATCGATGGATTTTTTTCTCGAATTGCAGAAAAATTGGTGAGCTGTCTGCTCAATCACGCAAATGATTAGACTCGAACGAACAACTTATTAGTCACCTAATTCCGTTATCTTAAGCTCCAATATTAAATGAAATTTTGCTGTACTACATTCTCCATTTTGCTACTAGTGGTAATTCTTTTGTTTGTTCCGAAAGTTTAGTGCATTGATTCTCGATTGTCGAATGATAGTTGTTGTTGTGTTTGTTTATTGTTAATTGCTACATATATATATCTTATCGGTTTTTCCCAAATTCCGATATCTATCTATCTTTTCTGCAGTTCACCATGTGTCGAACGTAAATGTCTTCGTCAGCATAGCACCTACACCACTACTTCAACCAAATGGTACTGTTCCTCGATTCATCGAAATTAATCAATTATTTAACATCCCTTTAGTTTTATGTAAGTTAATCGGCTAATGCATTATCCGTCATTTCAGACACAGCTTTGCAACCTAGTCCTTCAATATCACCTCCAAATGTCTATGTTCCACCGGCGCCATCTTTTGACGACTCTGTTCCATCAATGCCACCTATTCTTCGTCCAGGTGTCTTGTTGTGTCTTTTCTTTAAGGATATTTTTGTTCGAACATAAATTGTTTCAAATTCATTTAGATTTTCATTTCATGCAGCACCTGCCACATCACCTTCAACCAGTTCACCGCCAGAAGCCACACCGCCAAATTCTCGTCAAACTGAAGCACCTACGTATAATGCTCCTGTATCTACTGTTGCACCAGGTAGTTGAAACCGATTTAACTTTCTTTCCTGCTCTTAATTTTTTTTCTTTTTTACTCCCATTTTGTTTGAGGCTTATTTCTGAAGTAAAACAATTGGAATTCGGAATATAGTATCGAATGTGCCCGTTTGGACAGAATCTCCACCGCCTTCTCACTCAGTTTCGCCACAAGAACCACCTTCTCTTCCTCCAGGTTAGCCTTTTTTTACTCGTGTTTTAAATTGAAAATTTAATTTGAGTAAATCTTGGTTAATTACTACCATATTATATACACCTTGATGAGTTAGTTATTACCATGACAGATGCGTCTACACCCCCAGCATTGCCAGCTGGCCCTCCACCTGTCAAACCAATTCTAAACGAACCTCCTCCGTCCAGTCCTCCAGGTGATAAAATGAGCTACTGTTATTTTAGATAAACGACAGTCGTAGTTTCTGCCTCTAGTTAGTTAGTCAAAAAGATAAAGATATTCCGTTGTTTCTTGTAGAGCAAATTGCCTCACCGCCTGTATTAGCACCTCCACCTCCAAGAACCAGCAAAAAAACACCTGCTATGCCAATCGCAGCACCTGCAAATAAAACTACCTATCCTTATGCACCACCTGTAAGCCACTCCCCTACCAAAGGTTTGTCGAAAAAAATTATACTATTTTTATAATCTGTTTTTTCACGAATAAAGCAACGGAGATTTTGAGTTATCTTTTTGACATTTCAGCTCCTACTGTGAGTGTTCCTCCTCCTCGTGCATTTTCAAAATCAAAAGGGTCTCATGGAAAGGCTCATAAGATTACCCCTGCTCCACTCTCGGATGCCATTCCTCCAAATTCAGGTTTACTTTCTTGATATTTTTAAGAATATTGCAAGAATAAACATTTATTCCCGCTTTACGAAAATGTTCATGCCTTCATTTTCTTTCCAGCTATTTTTTGTTGTACAAATTAGATCCGGAAGTTAGTTTTAGATACAATGCTGAAACAGCCACGAGTGCATGTACATCAGTTTCTACTCGATGGTCAATGTTTTCGGTTTTTGCCCAATTTTTTTAACCTTCCTGTGATGAACTTGACAGGCTCCTCAGATAAACATTATTCTCGTATACCACCAGCTCCATCTCCATCTCCAGTTTCTCCATCTCACCACGCCAAAAGTAAAACTATCACACAAAAATAAAAATAAAAAAGAAAACGAACATTAGTGTATGTCTCTGTAATTAAACACTGACATTCTTTTCCTTGGCAGTTCCATTTGTCTTCCCAAAAATATCTCCGTCTGTATCACCGCCAAGAAGTCCCAAATTGCCGCTGCTGCCACCAATGCGATCGCTACCACCTCCACCTCCTAATAAAGGTGATTCTCGATAGATATTTTCCTTTTTTTGCTGTATGTATTATAATGTGCGGTCGTATCATATAATAAACTCACGGGTGTTTTTACGTAATTCTAAAGCTTGTGGGCCCCTGACATGCACCGAGCCACTGACGTACGGCCCGCCCGGATCCCTATGCGTCTGTGTGTTGCCAATACAAGTGGGCCTACGCCTCAGCGTAGCACTGTACACATTTTTCCCTTTAGTTTCCGAACTAGCCTCCGAAATTGCTGCTGGAGTATTTATGAAGCAAAGCCAAGTTCGAATCATGGGAGCAAATGCAGCTGGTGATAATCCGGACAAGACCATTGCCCTTATCGATTTGCTACCACTCGGAGAAAAGTTTGATAGTACTACAGCTCATTTAACTTTTCAAAGACTTTGGCTCAAACAAGTTGTTATAAAATCTTCGTTCTTTGGCGAATACGATGTACTATATGTCCGATATCCAGGTAAAAGATCACTTTTGTTTTGTTTTTTTTTTCGGGAAAAAAAAACATATTTAAGTTATAATATATTGCGAATTTTAGGTCTGCCCCCTTCTCCGCCTTTGCCGCCATCGACAATTGGCATCATACCGAGTAAACCTTACCCTGGTCATGACAATAATGCACGGACAATTCAGCCCCTAGGTGTTGACATAAGTGGGAAGCAACAAAAACGGGGGATTAGCAGAAACATAATAGCAACAATAGTCTTGTCTTGTTTTGTGGCTGTAATACTATTGTCTGCTCTTGCATGGGTTTTTCTCTTCAGACAAAGATACCGTGTTTTCCAACCGGGCCCTAATCCACCAATTATGCTCCCTTCACACACCAAGTCCTCAGGTAAATTGGAATATACAATCATCATGTTAAACATGAAGGTTAAATTTCGAGCTTTCTTGATTTCGAAAACTTTGCTGACAAGATAAATATAAATGCAATATGATGTAGCTGTAGCAGTATCCATACTCGGAAGTGGGATAAGTTCGCCTCCATTCTCCTTAGGCTCGACGAGCATTGCAGCTTATACTGGCTCAGCAAAGACATTCAGTTCAATCGATATAGAGAGAGCAACCGATTTCTTCAACGAAACGAGAATACTAGGCGAAGGTGGATTTGGACTAGTGTACAGAGGGGTCCTCGAAGATGGAACCGAAGTTGCAATGAAGGTACTCAAAAGATGCGATCAACAGGGAAACCGTGAATTCTTTGCCGAAGTCGAAATGCTAGGCAGACTTCACCACAGAAACTTGGTCAAGCTGATTGGTATATGTGTGGAGGATCGCACTCGATGCTTGGTTTACGAACTTATTCGAAACGGTAGTGTGGATTCTCACTTACACGGTATGAAAAACTTGATTCTTTAACTCAATTTTCTTCTTTTTTTTTTTTTTTTTTTTTTTCCGGTTGTATGATCTTTTATATTATCTCAGGCTTCGACAAAGAAAGATCTCCACTTGATTGGAGTGCACGCCTGAAAATTGCACTCGGATCCGCTCGAGCTCTAGCCTATCTGCACGAAGATTCGAGCCCACGTGTCATTCACAGAGATTTCAAAGCAAGCAATATCTTACTCGAAGATGATTTCACACCAAAAGTATCCGATTTCGGATTAGCACGCACTGCATTGGACGAGGAAAACACACACGTTTCGACCCGTGTTATGGGAACTTTCGGGTATTTTTTTAAATAGCTCCAAATTACCAATATGCCCCTCAAATCAAAATGTCGAAACCACCCCTAATTTTTTATTATTTTGGCAAGGTATGTGGCCCCGGAGTACGCGATGACGGGGCATCTACTCGTGAAGAGTGACGTCTACAGCTACGGTGTGGTCCTTCTAGAACTTCTGACCGGAAGGAAGCCGGTCGACATGTCACAGCCAGCTGGCGAAGAGAATCTAGTCTCGTGGGCCCGGCCCCTCCTAACAAGTAGGGAAGGTCTAGACTCGATAATCGACCAATCATTAGTACTGCCTGATTTTTCTCCAGACAGTGTTTCGAAAGTAGCTGCGATTGCTTCGATGTGCGTTCAGCCAGAGGTGTCACACAGGCCATTCATGGGGGAAGTTGTACAGGCCTTAAAACTTGTATGCAACGAGTGCGAAGATCTTAGAGAGTCTCCTTCTAGAAGCTTCTGCAGCCGAGAGGAGGATTTGTCTCTAGTTACGGTTGACACTAATTCGGACACAATGCCAGCTCATTTGCTGTCTCCTTCGTCGGTGTCAGATTATGATTATCGGCTCGACGTTGAGAGAGATAGAGATCTTTCTATGTCGGAGTTATTGAGTTCTTCCGCGAAATTCGGAGCGGAAGATTGCGAGTCTTTTAGGAGGCATTCTAGCTCGGGGCCTCTGAGAATGGGAAAAACGAAGCCCTTATGGAAAACGATGAGGAAATTGTCTCGAGGGAGTGTGAGTGAGCATGGGGTGTTATTTAGACTTTGGCCTGGATCTCGTTAGTGTGTGATTTAGGGTTTTCTTGAATTTTTAGAATTCTTGGAAGGTAAATTTGAGGGGAGTTTCTTGGTGGTTAATTGTATTGTTTTGTTTTTTCTTTTTTGGAATGTTGATGCAATTTTTGTACAGAAAAAAATGTTGTAATGTGTTCTTGTTCAAAAATATGTTGACATCTTTTATGGCAAATTCTTGGATCAAGGCTTTGTCTGTGTTAATGGAAAAAACATATCGGCTATGAATCTTCTTATACGTTTACTTTTGTGGCGTCAAATTTAGTGGAACCTTCTAGATTATGTGGAATATTCTCCAATTTGTACTATTTTTACATTATTCGAACTCCACATTTTGAAACAAGATGATCATAAGATGTGTCTCTTAGCTTATAAATATCAGATTGTAGTGCATCAGAAATTGCATATTGCACAAAACGTGTACGAACATTCAACGAAATGTATAAGATTTTGTTGAATTTGACACTATAAGGATCGACGTGTAAAAAAAATCGTAATTTGACCTACTTCATATGAGTCGTCGTAATATACCCTATTATTATATACATATATAGTTAGGGTTGTTCATGGGTCGGTTTTACCCGACAACCGACCCATTATCGGCCCGACTATTGCAGCCGATAATTACCCATCAACCGACCCGTTCTGGTCATGCCGATAATATCAACCGACCCATGCATAGTCGGGTCGGTTATGGTTTCTGAAATATTGAAAAGTCGGTTGGCCGATAATATCGGCCAACCGACTTTTATTTTTATATTATTTTTTTTCTAGCCTTTTACTCTACATTTAATTTTTGGGCAATAATGTTTGAGTTTTTGGGAGATGCTAATATTTAGAATATGTTTTTGTATTTGAAGTAGTTGAATCAGTGAATCAGACCTCTTTTTTTTTTTTCAAATATTACAATCTCATTGATTGTCCAGGTCGATTCTCGTTTTTTTCTTTTTTTTATATCTCATA